GAGAAGAAACAAAGCGCCTTGACAAAGGAATTAGCATAGAATTTAGCATTGAAATAGCTGAGTGATTAGCTTGTGACTGGTCACAGAAATGGCTATGCTAAAGTTAAAGCATACACATCCGCAGAGGTACCCCTTGACAAAGGAATTAGCATAGATTTTAGCATTGAAAGAGCTGAGTGATTAGCTTGTGACTGGTCACAGAAATAGCTATGTTAAAGTCAGAGCATACACATTCACAGAGGCACCTAGTACAAATCAAACAGGAGAATTTAGCATTGAAATAACTAGGAGAATTTAGCATTGAAATAACTGAGTGATTAGCTTGTGACTGGTCACAGAAATGGCTATGTTGAAGTAAAAGCCTACACATCTGAGCTATTCACAGTAACCGGTATATACTACAATATATAATGAATACTACATAGTGAACCAATAAAAAACTAAAATATAAATTACCTCAATGTTATCAATAAACTATATATATTCTCCTATCAGCTAAGCTACCAACAATAAGTCGTTATATATCACAATGCTATATGGCGAAAAAATGGGTGGATTCTTACCCTCAACTTTAGCAACACGGATAGCTACGGGCCCCGTTCAGACGGACGAGTTCATCCATGGTCGGAACAGAGGAGGGGGAGAGAGACAGCTGCGAGGCGCTGTTATACTCCATGTTGTAAACCATACCATTAACCGTGGTGTGAGAGGTATTAAGAGTCAATGCCAGCGAAAGAGCTGCGGTCTGAAGGTCATCGTAAAATACAATTAATTAAGAACGGAAATGGTTTAAAACATCTTTCCAATGGTTACTAAGTCAGAATCCATCTTCTCGGTTGAAATTGTCTCTGTGCTTGTATATGTGAATGGCCTCATGAACGAATCTCTCATGGTAGCCGGTTGGTATGCAAAGAACCTCCGTCTTGGAGAAGTCAATGTCATGTGAGCCCACTGAATTATAACAGTGATCTGCCACGGCAGAGGAGTTCGTTCTACCGTGTTTCAAGTCTGCTTTATGTTTGCGGATGCGGTCCGAGATATGTCGTTTGGTTTCTCCAATGTAGCTACTACCACAGAGGCACTTTAGTTTGTAAACGCCCGGGTACTGTATGTCCGGAACAGCATCTTTTACAGATGGAACTAGATCACGGATTTTATGTACTGTGTTGAATCGGACCTGGATCTTGTGTTTATTCAAGATTTTGGAGATATTTTTAGTGACCCCTGCAATGTAGGGTAAGGTGATGGTTTTGAGTGGCTCCACAAGAGGATCCTTCTTCATGACTGGAGTGATGGCTTTGCGGATTGTGTAGTCGGAGTAACCATTAGCCCTGAGAGCCTGGTGTACGTGCTTGAGTTCACTGGTAATGTGTTCCTGGTCAGAAATGCATTGGGCTCTATGGTATAGAGTCTTGATGAGGGAGTTCTTCTGGGATGGATGGTGGTGGAAATCTGGTTTCAAGTAAGCATCTGTATAGGTAGCTTTCCTGTAGACAGAGTGGCTCATTGAACCATCATGTCTCCTTTTAATTAAGACATCCAAAAAGGGTAGTTTGCCATCTTTTTCGACCTCCATGGTAAATCTGATGGCTGGGTGTATGGAATTGATGTGGTCGCGGAATTGTTCTAGAGCAGGTTGGCCATGTGGCCAGATGACAAAGGTGTCATCCACTTACCTCTTCCATAAGGTCGGGCGTAGAGTGGCAGTCTGGATGGCGTCAGTTTCAAATTTTTCCATGAATACGTTGGCTACAACCAGAGATAGGGGGGAGCCCATTGGGGTGCCCTCAGTTTGTTTGTAGAAAGTTCCATTCCAGGTGAAGTATGTGTTGTTAAGCAATGTCTCACCAGGGGGGTACATCAGTATGCAGTCCTTGATGAACCAGGTCTTCAATGATAGCGATGGTGTCAGGTACCGGGACTTTGGTGAACAAGGACACCACATCAAAACTGACAAGCAGGTCGTCTGGGGACAGGGAAATGCCTTTGATTGTCGATACCAGGTGAGTACAATTTAGTACCGCAGAGGTGGTTTTTCCAGTGAAAGGTCGCAGTATATCAGCAAGAAAACGTGCCAGTTTATAGGTGAGGGAGTTGATAGTAGAGACGATGGGACGAAGCGGTGTATCTTCTTTGTGTATCTTTGGAAGGCCATATAATCTTGGTGGTCTGGCAGCAGAGGGTTTCAACGAGAACTGTTTGGTCTGATCAATTAATACCCGGTTACTGTGAATAGCTCAGATGTGTAGGCTTTGACTTCAACATAGCCATTTCTGTGACCAGTCACAAGCTAATCACTCAGTTATTTCAATGATAAATTCTCCTAGTTATTTCAATGCTAAATTCTCCTGTTTGATTTGTACTAGGTGCCTCTGTGAATGTGTATGCTCTGACTTTAACATAGCTATTTCTGTGACCAGTCACAAGCTAATCACTCAGCTATTTCAATGCTAAATTATATGCTAATTCCTTTGTCAAGGCGCTTTGTTTCTTCTCACACAGCTTAAAGGTCGCGATCTGAGCGTGGCTTTTTCGTTCCAGCGCTGTCCTTTAGACAGTCTCGTCTCTTCACCTGATGAAGGCCGCTTGTGTTGTGGCCAAAACATCGTGATAATTTTATTGTTTTATTGTGTTATTTTAATTTATCAATTTATTATTTTATTCTCATTCTCCGTGACTTTACCGAAAGAACCAAAGAAGATATATTTTTCATTTTTTTTACAATATAGTATTGTCATCAGAAAGATGTAACTACAAGAAGTTTGCAGTCGATACCACTTTGGGAAGTGGGTGAAAAGTGAGTTACAAGATTTGAGGATACAACAACAGACAGTGAGTTAAATGAAAGCGTGTAAAAAAGAGAAACCCTTTAGAAAATACAATTGGGTGCGATTGGTGGGCGATTTCTCTTTGTTACAACGACATTTGCTCCCATCATGTAACTTTATGCTCCTTAATGGATTGTAATTTTACTTGGCACAAGCTGAGCCAACGTGTTTTTGGCCCCTTTGCAAGTTAACCACGCATTGCACGACCACCGTTTCCAAAGCAGTGAGGGTGGCCCGTGGGAAAAATAATATTCAAATTCTTCACCTGGGAAATGTCCCCCCCAGATGGGACCCCTCATTAGCTAAAGGGTGTTCAGGGTGCCGATTGACGCGTGGAATTTATGTAAATGCCTTTAAAAATGCAACCCTTTAACCTGATTGCAATAAAACAACCCCCATACAGAAATAGAGATCTCGCCGGTTCTGCAACTCGTACAATCCATGTACAACGCATTCCACACGCTGTTGCCTCGAGCGTAAGACTGATCAGGTTTGGTCACGAAGCCACTGGAGCTATGGTACTTTTCAATCATGAAATTTACAAACGAGTTTCTTTAGAACTGCTTCTGTGTTGTGTTTAATTTGTGTCTTTCCCCTGCACCGCCAATTAGTGCGGTTGGCTACGTACGATGTGAATGAAGTTCCAAATATTTGTCTCATATTCACAAGCATTGTGGTAGCCACTCTGGAAATATTTTAGTTTTTTTTACCAAATTCGAAAAACAATGGCTCTTGTTATTGTTTTACTTGATTTGAAGCTTTCATGACTGGAGGAGATTCTCTGGTTCTTTCGGTAAAGTGACATATGAAGAAAATACATTAAATAATAAGTACGACGTTTGGATTTCAACACAAGCAACGTCATCAGGTAGAACTAAATTTGTTATTTTGGTCTGCGACCCTTGACCTCAGTAGAGGCACCGCCCGGGTCTCTCGTGGCAAGCAGAGAGTTGGCGAGGGCCTCCAACGACAAAACTTGCCCACAACTGCCAGACGGGTCGCCCTTGAGAAAGAGCTTCCTTAGTTCAATGGGCTCTAGTCAGGGAAGTAAACTTCTATTTATTATTATGAAGTGTGTGTGAGAGAGTGGGCCAGTGGGAGGATGGCTGAATGAGTGAGTGGGTGTGATACGTGGGTGAATGGGTTCGTGTTTGGACAAGTGAGTGTATGAGTGCGAGAGAGTATGATTGGGCCAGTGAGTACGTGTGTACTTATGGAACGCTTTGATGATGTCTCCTGGCAAAGTCACCCTTGAAAAAATAGTTTCTTATCTCAAAGGGCTCTACTCCGGGAAGAAAACTTCTATACTCTTTGGTTCTTTCGGTAAAGTCACGTAGGTATAAAATAAATCACGATATTTCGGGTGCAACACAAGCATCTGTCATCATCACCTGATAACGGACGCTTGTGTTGCGCCTGAAAAGTGATTTATTGTATTCCTACGTGACTTTACCGAAATAATCAAAGAGTATGGATTCCTGCAGTCACGAAAGCTTCAAATAAAGAAAACTTCTAGTTGTTGAGGAGAGGCCGTCAGGCTTTTTTAGCTGCCACGACGCCTGTGCATCACACCACGCTGTGACTCAACACGCCCGAGGAGCAGCGTGGTGTGATGAGCAAAGACTGGAGCACTTGGGGAGGAGAGGGGCTGTGGAAAGATGGATGGAGGACGCGTGTGAATGTGAAACAACGCAGATAAAATACGCAATGGATGCGGCTGCGAACGATTGTAACAGGGATCTGCAGTCTCGGACAAGGTGAAAATGAGAGACAGTGTCATCGCCAGCAGTGGGTGATGGAGGCAGGTAAAGTTGGTGATAGATTCTCACTGCTTGCAAAAGGCTCAAGATTCCAGGATGGGTCACGGGAGGCTACAGATAAATTCCATCTCAGATGCCACAATGCCATTCAAAAACTCGTCACGTTGCGGTAATTACCCGAAGATGGAATTACAGGACATCATGAGATATCTACGACACGAACTCTTTAATTTTACCAGGTAAGGCTCACTGTGCTATGTGGCTCTTTGTCAGAAGCGACCTGGCTGTTACAAATGTGAGTGCAATGAAGCGGCATATGTGGAAGTTGACTTCAGCCAAAAACTCTAAACGCGTGATGTTGATTCTAAATGTAGAGGGGATAATCGGAGGACCCAGATACAAATTCACGCTATCAAGGGGAGACAGAGAGACACAAGCTCTAAATATAAAGCAGCCATAAGGCGAGGGAGATAACATCTCCTAGAGACCGTGGCATGTAATCCATTGCTCTGGCTTACCATAGACATCAACTTGTGCGCTAAGCTTTGCAAAGATTACTTTATCTCTCGATACTCATTACATGAATCAGCCATCGCAGCTGAACCTCTACGACTTATATGAACAACTCATTTCTTTTTTTTTTAAAGAGTAAGTTCCGTTGATACATTTTGTTCATATAGCGGTATGTACAGTAGCCGTGTTCACCTTGAGACTGCTGTTTGTGCACCTAGGGGCACGGGTTCACATTCCTGGCAGTGTCTCGTGATGTCAGTGACGACAATGAAAATATTTTAAGTATTTTACTTCCTTCTTCACCGTTGCTATAAGAGAGAGGTCCTGGTCCAGCGTCTCTCTGAGCCACACAACGAGCGACCCCAGCAACGCCATGGGTCATGGCGAGCGGGACTCCCAGTGAGAGTGTGGATAGTGAGCTGTGCTGCTCCATCTGCCTGGACACATTCGTCTGCCCCTCCACGCTGAGCTGCGGACACTCGTTCTGCCTGCGGTGCCTGGAGGCCGCCTGGGAGACAGCGAGCAGCTTCAGCTGCCCACAGTGCCGAGCGACCTTCCCTGTGCGACCCCAGCTGAGGAGGAACGTGGCCCTCGCCAACCTGGCGGAGCAGCTCAGAGTTGGAGACGGGATGGCCGCGGCCGTCGTGTGTGACATCTGTGGTGATGGCCAGACTCCTGCAGTGAAGACCTGCCTGAGATGCGAGATGTCCTACTGTTTTTCTCACCTTAGGCCTCACGTGGAGAATCCCAGGTTGAGCGACCATGCTGTGGTGGATCCCACTGCGAGCTTGGATGAGCGAAGATGCCCTGAACACAAAAGAGAGCTGGAATTCTACTGCACAGTAGACAGCAGCCTGGTCTGCTCATCGTGCACCATCGCAGGTGAACACAAAGGACATGATGTCACCACGCTGAAGGACGAGCACGAGACACGGAAGGTGAGGCCCTCAGAGTGAGACACCACAACACGATCTGACTAATTCTGTAACTGGGCTTTACAACATCTGATGAAAAAACGTAATTGTGTGTTCATTCTTAATTTCAAGCTTTCGTGAGTGCAGGAATCCATACTCTTTGGTTCTTCCGTTAAAGTCACGTAGGTAGACAAAAATAAAAGATCACGACGTTTCGAAACAAACACAGCAGTCCTGCTGTGTTTGTTTCACACCTGATGACGGTTGCTTGTGTTGCGATTGAAACGTCGTGATCTATTATTTTTTCTACCTACGTGACTTTACCTAAAGAACCAAACAGTATGTTCATTCTCTCTCTTTTAAATCTGTCTCTGTCTGTGTTGACATCTCCTGCTTGGCTCACAGGGCTATACCAAAATAAACTGAACTGAACTGAAGGATACAGCCTCAAGGATGTATTTCATGCCAGGCTCTCACTAAACAAAATTCCCGTGTAAAGGAATTAAGTGAATAGAGATGTGAGACTGATATCACAGCCACCACAATCATATTAAATTCATTTTTTTAACTAGACAGCTGTGGGAACATGGGCTCTTGGGTCTGAGTCGGTATGGACACCAAGCCAGCACGGCTCCCACCGGCTGCTGCTACAACGAGGCATCCGCTTGAGGAGATGAGGGCCTTCACTGTGAAGGAGTCGGTGTGAAGGGAAGGGCGGTGTGAGGGGTGGCTCAGGGGGCTGGAGTCTCCCCCTGGTGACGTCTCGTCTCTCACTTCAGACGCACGTTGGGGAGGAGACGCGAACGGTGGAGAAGAAGAGGAAGGAGGCGGAGGAGTCCATGAAGCGGATGGAGGCCGCTCGCAAGGAGGCGCAGGTACCGTGTCCGGGTCTGGCTCTTTGACTCCTGTGAAATCCACTCAGTGTGGAAGTCGTGGAGGTCAAAATTCATCAAGCGAACTTCGTGCAGCTTCATATTTTTTATGCCTCTTACTATAATTATATTAAATTTCAAACTCAACATTAACTACAAGTGGATTGCTCATTTACCAGATTCGATGACCGCATCGGCGAGTCTGCTGCAAGGTCGGGTTACTTGGCTTGACGTCTTCCACCCGTCCGGCAAAAAAAAATGTAGAGAGAGCCACGGATTGTCGGGGTGGAGCTGTGGTGCAGCTGTTACACTGCACTGGAGGTCGTGCACTGGCACGGACGCAGAGCCACAGACACCACTCAGCTGCACCTCACGCCATCCCTAATCACATCCCCTGAGTTTATTGAAACTACAACTATTTTTATTTTACCAGGTAAGGCCCCACTGAGCTGTGTAGATTTTTTCAGAAGTGACCCTGGCTGTCACAAATAATAGCAGCTCATCAAAGTGGCTGACATCATCACGTGAATATATATAGCAGCAGACACATAGAGATACATAGAGACCGCTCGAGATACATAGGGACCCCTAGAGATACATAGGGACACATAGAGATACATAGAGACCCATAGATTAAACTATTTTTTTATTTCACCAGGTAAGGCCCCACTGAGCCATGTAGCTCTTTTGCAGAAGGAACCTGAATATCACAAAGATAGCTCATTAAAATGTCTACTCTAAATACTGCACTCTAAACGCTTGCTTGAACCCGGAGACACTCTTGGGCTCTGCGGGTTGTTCACAGCAGATAATCAATGCCTTTGACTATAAACCCGAGTCGGACTCGTGGGATATAGATACCAGACCCATAGATATATCAAAGACACACATAGAGATACATAGACACCCATATAAATACCAGACCCATATATATATATCAAAGACACACATAGAGATACATAGACACCCATATAGATACCAGACCCATAGAGATATCAAAAACACACATAGAGATACATAGACACCCATATAGATACCAGACCCATAGATATATCAAAGACACACATAGAGATACATATGTAATGATGGTAGCATCACTACTGTGTACACACGCACAAGCGTGACGTCACTATGCGGGGGAGCGTCATGACCACGCGGGTCTACACACACGCATGACGTCATCCCGGCTGGAGGCGGGAATGACGTCAGGACCAGTGCTGGCCTCGGGAGGCCACGATGGTGGTGTGAGGCCGTGGCACTCTGTGACCCCGGCTGGACACGTGACTGGACCCCATTGTGGGCCGGGGGCCTAGGGGGCACCTTGGAGGGCACGTGGACAGCAGGGGGGCTTCGAGAGGGTTCTCGAAGGGAGGTGTGGCCGGGGCGGGGCCCGGGCACGCCGAGGCCTATATAACCAGCCTCCTCACGAGGTTCGAGGCTGCCCGTATCAAGAACGAAGATGCATCGTGAAGACGCCAAGAAGAGTCAAGCCTCCAGTCAGCGGACCTGGCAGTAGCCCACCTCGCTGGGTCACGCTAGAGTATTTGAGAAGTATGTGTTAGCTAGAGTAGGTTGGTGGTCACCACCTTATGTGCAGTGTTATATTACTTACCGTTCTAATAAATCAGCGTTGCCTCCCAAGGAGTCGTGTGTGCACCTAATTATCCTAGTCAGTATAATATGTGCACGATTACTACAACTTACCTGCTCGCTTTCACACGACGAGGAGGCGAGACGATCATCTTCGGGGCAGCCCCGGGGTTCTGCAGCCTCGGTGAAGGAGGGAGATGGCGCTGCAGGCGGGGCAGCAGCACGCACATCACGTCGCTGCTTCGCCGCCATCGAGAGAGAGGGCGACGGAGCTGGAGGAGAGAGGACGCCGCCGCCGCCGCCGCTGCTGCTGCTGCGGGTGCCTGGGCGGGAAATTCGCGCGCGCATAGTGCACGCGCGGCCGCCATCTTGGCGGGCGGTCGGGACGCGGTTCCCGCCAAAACGCCGCTCCCGCCATTCTCAACGCCTGTGGAGGGAGATCTTGGGCCGTCTTGGTGGCATCCTGTGCTCACCATCCAAGAGTCTTCAAGTTCCACAGTGCAGCCTCCGTTCCTCACAGCCTCTCAGGCGAGTCGTGACACAATGCACCCGGCCCTAAAAACACACTTCACCCATCTTGCGTGCGCCGGGTTGCGATTATGTGGTTTTTTTTTACTCGCTGGGTTGCGAAGCGTGTTAGTTGGGTTGGGTGCGTGGCAGATTGACGCGGCGCCCGTGCGTGTGTCTGCTTTGTAACAGCGTTAAGTACGGCGTCGGGATTGTTATCTTAAGGAGCCGGTTAATGATTAATTCTGCTATGTGGGGGGTCTCGGGCTCCGTTAAGATCCAGTGAATTGCCGGGTTAATTATTTGTTGACACTTTATTTGATTGCCTTTGCGGAGTCGCGATTGTTTTTGGGTATACAGTATGGAGCTTCGCTCGTGAATGTCGTCAATGTGTGACTGCGAAACTTTGCTTGTGAGTGTTAACAATGTATGCTTTGTATGGAGCTTTGTTCGTGATTGTTAATATATAGCTTGTGCCACATTTGTTAACGAAGTGTTGATTTATGGGATTTTTCTCGAGATCGCGATGTGTGGACTGTATGTACTGCATAGACTGTCTCTCTGCACTGATACGGGTTGTGACGTACATTGTTGTGATCCTTGGTACGGATCGTTAAATTGTGATGATGACATATGGTGCCAGTGATTTGGATTGTGCTGCTGGCTGTGGCTAATCTGGGCCAAAGATCCTGACCAGAATGCCCCTGTCATTGTTGCGTGTTGACACACGAGTGTGGTCCCGTCATGGTGTGGCTGATGGCTTGACCTGGCGGCCCGGAGAGCGAGACACTCCGAGGCGCGTCTGAGACAGTGAGCCAGAGGCTCAGGGAGCTGGTGGTGAGTTGCTCTCTCAGCTCGGTTGGTACAGCTAAATGCTGCAATGCGAGGCTTGGAGAGAGGGGTTGGTGTGTCCTCTCAACCCGGTTGGGACAGCTGATTGCTGCAATGCGAGTCCTGGAGAGAGGTGTTCTTGTGTCTTCTCAGCTCGGTCGGAACAGCTACATGCTGCGATGCGAGTCTTGGAGAGAGACTGGGTTATAATTCCCCCGATACGGCCGACAGGTGCGCGTCGGAAAGGCGGGGGGTGCTACCGAGTGGCATGAGATGTCTGGGTTGGCCTTCAAGGGAGGGCTTCTGAGTTGTGCGAGCGCGGAAAACGCGCGTGGGGCCGCCATTTTGTGAGCGTGGTGCCGCCATTTTGTGAGCGTGGTAAACCGCAGGGGATGCGGCTCGTGCATGCGGCCGCCATTTTGTACGTGCATGGGTATTTGTGTGAACCATTTCTGGGCAAGAGCAGGCATTTTTTTTGTCACGTCGATTTAACATTTTTTTGCAAAAAATGTAGATACTGAGGCAACGCTGAAGTGCGACTTCTTTGCCCAGTACATGGGTCAACCTGGAAGCATGACTTCCTTGACCCGGGATGTTGTACAACATCCAACGGTTGTACCTTTGGGTGCAGCATACTGGCTCGACCTTGAAGAGTGACTTCCTTGAGCCAGTACATGGGTCGACCCTGAAGTGCGACTTCTTGACCTGGGACGTAGGGAGACGTCCGGAATGTTAAGTGGTGTTTGTAGGTGGGTGTTAGACTTTCGGTCTTCGCCCTATTGCCACCTGTGGGGTGGAACGGTAACAGGGCGGTGTGAGACCCTGCCATCTATGGGGTGGTTGTGTGGTTTTGGTTTGATTTACCGGTGTTGGTTGTGCATCAACGCGTCGGAATCTATGTATTTTTGTTTTTATTTCTTCCGCCGGGCGGAATACGATCATCTCCACTTCCCTGGGCCGGGTGGCTGTCGTGTCCGACGAGCTGAGGCGTGGGCTTGTGGTTCTGTGCCTCAGGAGGTGGTTTCTTCTTGTCACAGGATTCCTGCACCTGCCGCCCTTGGAGTCGCCGGTTGTGCTGACCGGATGTGGACTTGAAGGGGAGAGTGGAGCGCCCGTACGTCACTCCTGCTCATCCTGTTGCCCAACTCCTGGGGAGGGGCCGTGCCCTTTTTGGGCCTTTTTCAAGTTCCCCCAGGACCTCCAGGGAGAGCGTGCTCGCCTCCCCTGGAGGCTCGGCCACGCGAATTCGTTTGAAGACTGGCTGCTGTCCATGACTCTCACACCTTGTTGATTGCTTACACCGTTGTCAAGCAGCCACATTCATATGTCGGTGCATGCGTACAAATTCACACGGATGGGCTGTGCTGAGGGATAAGTGGGTTGACCAGTTCTTTTGGTGTACATGTGGTTGTTGGTTCCCCTCATTCCATACATTCTTCCCTTCCCCCCTCTCGGTGTGTGTACATATGTTTCTCGGGGTGATTATTGTCGGTCGCCGGTTGTTTGTTGACGTTGTTGGAGGCACACTGTTTTTTTTCTGTATTGTCACAGCCGAGATGGCTGTTTTTTTTTTTTACATGGGGGAGGGTGATGTAGTGATGGTAGCATCACTACTGTGTACACACGCACAAGCGTGACGTCACTATGCGGGGGAGCGTCATGACCACGCGGGTCTACACACACGCATGACGTCATCCCGGCTGGAGGCGGGAATGACGTCAGGGCCGGTTCTGGGATCGGGAGGCCACGAGGGTGGTGTGAGGCCGTGGCACTCTCTGTGACCCCGGCTGGACACGTGACTGGACCCCAGTGGGGGCCGGGGGCCTAGGGGGCACCTCAGAGGGCACGTGGACAGCAGGGGGGCTTCGAGAGGGTTCTCGAAGGGAGGCGTGGCCGGGGCGGGGCCCGGGCACGCCGAGGCCCATATAAGCAGCCTCCTCACGAGGTTCGAGGCTGCCCGTATCAAGAACGAAGATGCATCGTGAAGACGCCAAGAAGAGTCAAGCCTCCAGTCAGCGGACCTGGCAGTAGCCCACCTGGCTGGGTCACGCTAGAGTATTTGAGAAGTATGTGTTAGCTAGAGTAGGTCGGTGGTCACCACCTTATGTGCTGTGTTTTATTACTTACCATTCTAATAAATCAGCGTTGCCTCCCAAGGAGTCGTGTGTGCACCTAATTCGAACCCACTACACATAGACACCCATTTAGATACCAGACCCATAGATATATCAAAGACACACATAGAGATACATAGACACCCATATAAATACCAGACCCATATATATATCAAAGACACACATAGAGATACATAGACACCCATATAGATACCAGACCCATAGAGATATCAAAAACACACATAGAGATATATAGACACCCATATAGATACCAGACCCATAGATATATCAAAGACACACATAGAGATACATAGACACCCATATAAATACCAGACCCATATATATATCAAAGACACACATAGAGATACATAGGCACCCATATAGATACCAGACCCATAGAGATATCAAAAACACACAGAGATACATAGACACCATAGAGATACATAGACACCCATATAGATACTAGACCACATAGAGATACATAGACACCATAGAGATACAGAGAGACCCCGAGAGAGACCTACATAGAGATATTAGGCCCATAGAGACTCATAGACAGCCATAGAGACCTATAGACTAAACTATTTTTTTTTATTTTACCAGGAAAGGTTCGGGGCCATCCATAAATGACGTCATGCACCTAAGGGAGGAGGGGGGTCAGGCATTTGTGACGATGTGTGACGAAGGGGGAGGGGGGGGGGGTTGGAGAAATGACGTCACATCAAAATTCGCAACTTTAAAATAGAATATGAATTAAATCTCATTGTTAAAACAACACTAATTATTATTAATCTTCATTATTAACTATTGATTATTTAAATTAACTAAGGTCACCTTTTATTTATTCCATGAAGGAGCATTTTGCTTCTCCATGGGAGAATGGAGAAGCATACATTTTGTAAAAATTTTGAATAATTGTTTTTAAACATTTTGATTAAACCAGAGTTTTTCATTCTGTGAAATGAATATGTGACTGTTATAATTGTACTCTCCATTTTGCTTCGTTCTACTACAAAGTTTCACAGAGGTGTTGTTTCTCTGTGTGCCTATGTGTGTGTCTCTCTCTCTGTGTCTCTCTCTGTGTCTCTCTCTCTGATTGTGTGTCTGTCTGTGTCTCTCTCTGTGTCTCTCTGTGTGTCTCTCTCTTTGCTTGTGTGTATGTCTGTGTGTCTCTGTGTGTCTCTCTCTGTGTGTCTCTGTGTGTGTCTCTCTCTGGCTGTGTGTCTGTGTCTCCGTGTCTGTGTTTTGTCTCGCTCTCAAATTTAGCACTCTTTGGAAGAATTAATCAGCCAGTTAGGGTGGTGAATGTTATGTTAGCCGACTCTCTGTGTTGTATTGCATTATACTTCTTAGTTTACGAGGTTTGTTTTTCTCATTCATTCGTACCTGATGATGATTGCTTGTGTTGTAATCGAAACGTCGTATGCTATTATTAAATTTATTTTCTTTCTATGTGACTTAACCGAAAGAACAAACAAGTTTTTTTTGTAGTTATAATTACTTTTGAAATTTTATAATTATAAGAGAATTTCAATATAATATTCTGAACATCTGCAGTTTTAGTAAGACGTTGACTATTTTCAAGTTAATTTTATGCTAAATTCCAGCTTTCCAAAGCCTCCTTTTTAATACATGTTTTCTGGTACAACATCAGAGTGCAGCACCACATTAGATACGCACTACAGTGACAATCGTTTTAGTTTAAAGTGATTTGAAACATGTTTTATTTTCAAAATGGAAATATGGTTTTGGGCGGGGCAGAGCTTTTTGACGTCATATTTGAGGGGGGTCTGACTTTTTGTGACGCCATGGGGGGAGGGAGGGGGTTAAAAATCGGCCAAAATCGCGTGACGTCATTTATGGATGACCCCTTATTTGTCAGAAGCGACATGGCTATTATAAATGATAACTCAACAAAGTGGATGTAATGTTGAAATTGCTAGCAGCCAAATACTCTGAACGCGTAATGTCGATGCTAATTGTGGAGGCAAAAACCGGAGGACCCAGAGAAAAATCCATACGACTACAGAGAGAACAAACTCCAACTAAATGGGCGTCAAGGTCGGGATCGAACCACGACCTGCTGAATACCAGGCGAGGGAGTCAACATCTCCTAGCCACCACGGCGCCCACACGCACACACGGAGTGGCTCATGGCTCAGGGGGGCAACCGTGGTCCTTGCGTCTCCGCAGGAATCAGTGGCCGGGATCAGGGGTCACATCACGGGCAAGTTCGCCCGTCTAAAGAAGGCTCTGGACGAGGACGAGAAGGAGGCTCTCCAACGCGTGGCCGTGAAGGAGCGCGAGCTGCTGTCCCGGATAGACGAGGACATCGCTCGTCACAAGCGGGAGATCGGGGAGCTCCAGGTGGCGGCCGCTCGTCTACGCACCCTGCAGCACGAGAGGGACTCGCTCGCCTTCCTGCAGGTGGGGAGCACCTCTGTGGAGACGCCGTTTGGGTGTCCAGAACAACAGAGTGGGCAGTGGCAGGGGGCTCGTGGTGCAAGGTTAGAGACGTCACTCATGATCCCTGTCTTTCTTTTCCACAGGGGCACCTGGAGGAGACGCGCAGGTACAGATCCTCAATGTCTCACTGTTAAAAACTCACAACACAGTAGATGTGTGTGTTAGACACACGGGCTCTGTGTGTTAGACACACAGGCTTTGTGTTTTAGACACACGGGCTGTATATGTTAGACACAGGGTGTGTTTGTTTGTGTGTTAGACATGCTAGCTGTGAGTGAGACACAGGCTGTGTGTCAGACACGGGCTGTGTGTGAGACACGGGCTGTGTGTGAGACACTGGCTGTGTGTGAGACACGGGCTATGTGTGAGACACGTGCTGTATGTGCTGTGGTTGCTGAGTTTTCCGATGCTGTGGCTAAACGAGGCTGTGTGTGATGCTGTTGGTGGTTGTCCCAGGAGAGAGATCCCAAAGGAATCTGCACCCCCACCTCCCACTTCACTGGACTCCACCACGATCCGCTCCCTTGAAAGGGCCATGCGCAGACTCCTGCCTCTCGTCTGTGAGTCCCTCAGTCTTGCACCCGCGTGCCCCACTCTGTTGCACTGCACTTCTGTGCTCCCCACCTTCATCAACTTTTATTTTACCAGGTAAAGAACTCACTTAACCTTGTCGCTCTTTTGTCGCAAGCGACCAATCACAAATGACAGCTCTTCGAAATAGCTCATCACGTGGATATTTATATCAGCAGCCAAATCCTCTGAATGCAAATTGATTCTAAACGTGGAGGGGAAAACGCGAATACTAACGAATATTAGTATGTGTACACTAATACTAACTAATATTAGTATGTGTACACTAATACTAAATAATATTAGTATGTGTACACTAATACAAACTAATATTATTGTGTGTATACTAATACTAACTAATATTAGTGTGTGTACACTAATACTAACTAATATTAGTGTGTGTACACTAATACTAACTAATATTAGTGTGTGTACACTAATACTAACTAATATTAGTGTGTCTACACGAATACTAACAAATATTAGTATGTGTACACTAATACTAACTAATATTAGTGTTAGTACACTAATACAAACTAATACTAGTATGTGTACACTAATACTAGCTAATATTAGTGTGCGTACACTAATACTAACGAATATTCGTTTGTATACACTAATACTAACGAATATTCGTGTGTGAACACTAATACTAACTAATATTAGTGAGTATACACTCATACTAACTAATTTTAGTGTGTGTACACTAATACTAACTAATATAAGTTTGTGTACACTTACACTAAATAATATTAGCGTGCGTACACTAATACTAACTAGTATCAGTGTGTGTATAATAATACTAACTAATATTATTGTGTGTATACTAATACTAACAAATATTAGTGTGAGTACACTACTTCTAACTATTATTAGTGTGTGGACACTATAGTGTACACTAATACTAACTAATACTATTGTGTGTATTCTAATAGTAACTAATATTAGTGCGTATACACTAATACTAACTAATATTAGTGTGTGTACACTAATACTAACGAATATTAGTTTGTATACACTAACACTAACTAATATTCGTGTGTGTACACTAATACTAACTAATATTATTGCGTACACTAATACCAACTAATATTAGTATGTGTACACTAATATAAACGAATATTAGTTTGTATACACTAATACTAACTAATATTGGTGTGTGTACACTAATACTAACTAATATAAGTTTGTGTACACTAACACTAAATCATATTAGTGTGTGTACACTAATACTAACTAATATTAGTATGTGTACACTAATAAAAACGAATATTAGTATGTGTACACTAATACTAACTAATATTAGTGTGTGTACACTACTACTAACTAATATTAGTGTGTGTAAACCAATGTTAACTAATATTAGCATGTGTACAAAAATACTAACTAATATTAGTATGTGTACAAAAATACTAACTAATATTAGTATGTGTACACTTATACTAACTAATTTTAGTGTGTGTACACTAATACTAACTAATATTAGTGTGTGTACACTAATACTAACTAATATTCGTGTGTGTACACTAATACAAATGAATATTAGTTTGTGTACCCTCATACTAACTAATATTAGTGTGTGGACACAAATACTAATGAATATTACTTTGTATACACTGACACTAACTAATATTAGCGTGTGAACACTAATACTAACTAATATTAGTGTGCACTAATACTAACTAATACTATTGTGTGTATTCTAATAGTAACTAATATTAGTGTGTATACACGAGTACTAACTAATATTAGTGTGTGTACACTAATACTAACGAATATTAGTTTGTATACACTAATACTAACTAATATTCGTGTGTGTACACTAATACTAACTAATATTAGTGTGTACACTAATACAAACTAATATTAGTATGTGTACACTAATACAAACGAATATTAGTTTGTATACACTAATACTAACTAATATTAGTGTGTGTACACTAATACTAACTAATATAAGTTTGTGTACACTAACACTAAATCATATTACTGTGTGTACACTAATACTAACTAATATTTGTATGTGTACACTAATAAAAACTAATTTTATTATGTGTACACTAATACTAACTAATATTAGTGTGTGTACACTACTACTAACTAATATTAGTGTGTGTAAACTAATGCTAACTAATATTAGTATGTGTAGAATAATACTAACTAATATTAGTATGTGTACACTTATACTAACTAATATTGGTGTGTGTACATTAATACTAACTAATATTAATGTGTGTACACTAATATTAACTAATATTAGTGTGTATAAACTAATACAAACGAATATTAGTGTGTGGACACGAATACTAATGAACATTATTTTGTATACACTTACACTAAATAATATAAGTATGTATACACTAATACTAACTAATATTAGTGTGAGTACACTAATACTAACTAATATTTGTTTTTGTACACTAATACTAACTAATATTAGTACGTGTACACTAATACTGAATAATATTAGTATGTGTACACTAATACTAACTAATATTAATATGTGTACACTAATACTAACCAATATTAGTATGTGTACACTAATAAAAACTAATATTAGTATGTGAACACTAATATTAACTACAATTAGTATGTGTACACTAATACTAACTAATATTAGTATGTGGACACTAATATTAACAAATATGAGGATGTGTACACTAACACTAACTAATATTAGTATGTGTAAACTAATACTAAATAATATTAGTACGTGTACACTAACACTAACTAATATTAGTGTGTACACAGATTCTAACTAATATTAGTGTGTGTACAGTAATACTAACTAATGTTAGTTTGTGTACACTAATACTAACTAATATGAGTGTGTACACTAATACTAACTAATATTAGTATGTGTACACTAATACTAACTAATATTAGTATGTGTACACTTATATTAACTAATATTAGTGTGTGTACACTAATACTAAATAATAGTTTTGTGTATACACTAATACTAACTAATATTAGTGTGTGACACTGCTACTAACTAATATTAGTGTGTGTACACTAATACTAACTAATATAAGTGTGTGTACACTAATACAAATGAATATTAGTTTGTATACACTAACACTAACTAATTTTTGCGTGTGTACACTAATACTAACTAATATTAGTGTACACTAATACTAACTAATATAAGTGTGTGTACACTAATACAAATGAATATTAGTTTGTATACACTAACACTAACTAATTTTTGCGTGTGTACACTAATACTAACGAATATTAGTTTGTAAACACTAATACTAACTAATATTCGTGTGTATACACTAATACTAACTAATATTAGTGTTTACACTAATACAAACTAATATTAGTATGTGTACACTAATACAAACGAATATTAGTTTGTATACACTAATACTATCTAATATTAGTGTGTGTACACTAATACTAACTAATATAAGTTTGTGTACACCAACACTAAATCATATTAGTGTGTGTACACTAATACTAACTAATAGTAGTGTGTATACACTAATACTAACTAATATTAGTGTGTGTACACTACTACTAACTAATATTAGTGTGTGTAAACTAATGATAACTAATATTAGTATGTTTACAATAATACTAACTAATATTAGTATGTGTACAATTATACTAACTAATATTGGTGTGTGTACATTAATACTAACTAATATTAATACTAACTAATATTGGTATGTGGAAACTTATATTAATAAATATGAGTATGTGTACACTAACACTAAATCATATAGTGTGTTTACACTAATAGTAACTAATAGTAGTGTGTATACACTAATAATAATTAATATTAGTGTGTATACTAATACTAACTAAACAAGTATGTGTACACTAATACTAACTAATATTAGTATGTGTTCACTAATACTAACTAATATTAGTATGTGTACACTAATATCAACTATTATTAGTGTGTGTACACTAATAACTAATTTTTGTGTGTGTACACTCATACTTACTAATATTAGTGTCTGGACACTAATTCTAACGAATAATTAGTTTGTATACACTAATACTAACTAATAATAGTGTGTGTACAGTAAAACTAACTAATATTAGTGTTTGTACACTAATACAAACTAATATTATTGTGTGTATACTATTACTAACTAATATTAGTGTGTGTACACTAATACTAACTAATATTAGTGTGTTTACACTAATACTAACTAAGATTAGTATGTGTACACTAATAACAACTAATATTATTATGTATACACTAATACTAACTAATATTGTTGTGTGTACATTAATACTAACTAATATTAGTGTGTGCACACTAATAATAACTAATATTAGTGTGTGTACACTAATACTAACTAATGTAAGTTTGTGTACACTAACTCTAAATAATATAATTGTGTGTACACTAATAATAACTAATATTATTAACTAATATTAGTATGTGTACACTAATAATAACTAACATTAGTATGTGTACTCTAACACTAACTAATATTAGTATGTGTATACTAATACTAACTAATATTAGTGTTTGTACACAAATAATAACTAATATTAGTAAGTGTACACTAATACTAACTAATATTCGTGTGTGTACATAAATACTAACTAATATTAGTGTGTGCACACTAATACTTAATAATATTAGTATGTGTACACTCATACCAACTAATAGTAGTGTGTGGACACTAATGCTAACGAATATTAGTTTGTATACACTAATACTAACTAAAATTAGTTCTTTGTACACTAATACTAACTAATATACGTTTGTGTACACTAACACTAAATCATATTAGTGTGTGTACACTAATACTAACATAGTAGTGTGTATACACTAATACTAACTAATATTAGTGTGTGTACACTAATACTAACTAATATTACTATGTGTACACTAATAAAAACTAATATTAGTATGTGTACACTAACACTAACTAATATTAGTATGTGTACACTAATACTAACTAATATTAGTATGTGTAAACTAATACTAAATAATATTAGTATGTGTACACTCACACTA